AAAGGGACGTGATATGGTTGTATGAAAGGTTGCATCGTTCAATGATCCTCATACGTTTTGGGTAGTCGTGATGTCTTGCTAGAGACCGCTTACGACTTGTGAGTCATTATAGTTAATGGCCCACTGCCAACTTCATATGGGCCTACAGGGTTGCACACAAAATAGCCCAACACGAGTTATGATGTCCAGATTCATTGAATCTAAGATATGTCCAGATTCAATGAATAATATAGGGTGGACGTGTATATATATATAAATTCGTATATATATAAATATAAGAAATATTAATTGTTAGATTTAATTTATAAGGATAAATTAAATATATAAATTAATTCCGTCATCTCTTTATTAAATAAATAAGTGAATTAAATCTGTGAGACGGATTTAATTTAAACCATATTTATTTAATTGTTCTCTTATCTGATTAGGCAATATTTGATATTGTATTAATTTCGGAATTAATTTAGAGTTAATTTCGAAATTAAATATTATTCATTAAACCTATAGCATCCTATATATTTGATATGAGGAGCTAGGGTTTTAGTGTGAGAGTACCAACAGATAAGAGACGGCCTAAGAGAGATAAGAGTGGACGGATTCTCTGAAAACCCTAGACGGACATAGACGCTAGCACGTCGTTCGAGGTTGAGGGCTACTCGTGTGGATACCGGTAGAGGAAGCCGACCGGAGTTGTCGACTTTGAATGATAAAGGAGGCGAGCAGAGGCATCCTGAACGGCGGAATCACCAAGCCACTCGGAAACCGAACACCGAAGGTAATACTTCTTACTACCTGACTTAAACGCGATCGGTAGATCCGGGCAAGGGATTGAAAGTTTTAAAATTTTGTGTTGTTTTCCGCTGCGCGTCGTCTTTCAATTCCCTTCAAGTTGTTTATCAAAAATATATGTTAATATCTCTAAAAAGATTGAAACTATCTTTTGGTGCAAACTCCCTCAATTTATTCAATCAAGAGAGTTAGTTTAGACTGTTAGAATAAAAAACAATGGATCGAAAACATACCGAGTCGAATCCCAGGTCGGGTCGGGTCGAATCTTCTTAGCTCACGCTTAAGCTAGACTATAAAAGTCTAAGCTTTTAAGTGCACAGCAGAGCATCTCTTTGCAAGAAAGAAAATGAGAGAGATAGATATATATAGTAGGAAAACTCTACTACTGGAGTGATTTGAACTGATGGGGGGAAGCCTCTATTTATAGCTTTTGTCAGGGATAATTTGGGTAGCCAAAATATCCACTGAGCCCATCAGATAAAAAATCTGAGATAGGATATATAAATATATCCTTATCTCATAATATCATGATATTTGAATTCAAATCCAGAATCAATCACAATTAATTCTAAATATATATATTTAATATATATTTAATCCTTTATGTATGACGTCATACACGCGCTGCCTTTCCGACCTCTCACCGTTACCTGACCTATTCCATCTGATTCCCCACGTCTTAAGGAATCTATATATGTGCCTTTTGTGACCAAAGGGTCCCTAGGTGGACCCCACGCGCCCATAAGGGCGTAAAAAAAAATTTCAAAATTTTTTTTTGTAGTTTTTTTTTTTAAAAAAATTTTTTTTGGTCAATCGATCGAACTTCCAGGGAGGATCCGGGTCCACCAGACCCGAAACACAGCGTTTCACTTGAAGTGCGACGCTGCGTCCTGGCCAGCCCAAAACGACACTGTTTTGGGCTGGTCAGGTTGTCCCTGACCTCCAGCCGGGTCGCCCCAGATCCGGCTGGAGCTCTGACGGGTCCGTCGCGACCCGCCATTTTTGAACCCCCATATCTTCCGCCTCCGAGCTCCGTTTTATGCATTTTAGGTGTCTATGAACTCGTATTTTCGTGCTCTATAATTCTATGGGTTCATTTTCTTCAAAAAACATCATTTTTAAAGACCCAAAAACTGGTTCGTACGGCCAACGTTGGAGCTTTTGAAAAAAAAGGATTTCGATCACGTTTTTGAACCCCACGGCATCACAGGCAATGTTTTCAAGCTTCAAATATATGTACAGAGTGTGTATTCGAGTTTAAAACACAAGAGTATAACATCCGAATGTATTGGTATATTAACGGCAGCAGAATAAACGAATAACATATATTGATAGCCTCAAGATCATTATGGCTCTAACACCAATGTTAGAATAAAAGGACAATGGATCGAAAACATACCGGGTCGGATCTCGGGTCGGGTCAGGTCGGATCTTCTTAGCTCACGCTTAAGCTAGATTATAAAAGTCTAAGCTTTTAAGTGCACAGCGGAGCACCTCTTTGCAAGAAAGAAAATAAGAGAGAGAGATATATATAGTAGGAAAGCTCTACTACTGGAGTGATTTGAACTGATGGGGGGAAGCCTCTATTTATAGCTTTTGTCAGGGATAATTTGGGTAGCCAAAATATCCACTGAGCCCATCAGATAAAAAATCTGAGATAGGATATATAAATATATCCTTATCTCATAATATCATGATATTTGAATTCAAATCCAGAATCAATCACAATTAATTCTAAATATATATACTTAATATATATTTAATCTACACAATATAAATTAATTAATTAAATATTAAATTAATTAGATTTATATCGTAACCGATTGGATATGATTTAGGGTGTTTGACCAAGTCAAACATATCACAATATCGCCTGGATATTTGATTGGTATATTCTCTTTATACCCGGTCAAACAATCCGGCCCATCAAGGGCGGATCCAAGCCTAAAATCCAACATAGACAAATAAGAGGGACAAAATAAATTAAAATTTTATATTTATGATCCAATTTAACTTATTTACTAATTCTTATATTAAAGAATAGTATTTTTTTTTTAAAGATTTTGTATGTGATATAAAAGTTCAACAAATTGTTCATGAGTCATAAATAATATTGCTTGTTTTTTAGACTCCATGATACACATGACTCGCACTAGTTATACTCAACATTGATAATATGCATTAATATAACATTACAGAATTTAATTATTTTTAAAAAGGGGAATAATATTTCGGCTAGGAACACTTAGACGCCACTTTAGATCGATGAGGATTGCTTTTAAATTTTGATCAATAAGCACCAATTTTTATCGGATATAGCTACAGGACCTATCTTTTTCATGCGTCAAGGTAAAAGTAGAAAGAACGAAAAGAATGATCTAATAGAATCCGATTTCACGCTTAAGCAATTGAATAGTTCAAAATGTTATCTTTCCTTTGATAATTACACTTCAATTAAAAAGTTCAATTGTTTTTAGTTAGGAACTAAAAAGAAAACAGTCCATTTTCGATAGGATAATATTTCTTTCGATTTTAAATATAATAGCTAAATAAATAATTTATATTTGATCAAAAAAGTTTACAGAGATTAAGAAAATTATTTTAGTTATTTGTAGAAAAAAATTTTGTTAGTTCCTTAAAGAACCATTATTTTTAATTATTTGCACTCAAAAAATTTTCATTGATTAACAAATAGGGAGAATTTAGAAAAATAATTATAGCTGTAAAAAAATGAATTGAGATTTTACATTCAAAGTAAACAAAAAGGAATAAAATAAATTAAGAAAAATGCTAGCTCTTGTATGTAGAAGTGAAAGAACTAATAATTTTGGCCATAGAAAAAGTGATGGAAGAAACATAATGATAATACCTACCCTCAATGATTCAATGTAAGTAAGGAAGGCGTTGGATGATGACAAATAATAAGATATTTTAATTATGTTTTATTTGTGTTTTAAGCAAATAATTAATACTATTGTTTGATGAGAACCAGAAAAACTGGGACATTAAGGAATAAAAGATCATAACTAATGCATTATCTTGGTTAATCTGGTGGAACATGCATGATTGATGCTTAACTTTGTTTGCCACTAATTGCTAAGTGAAAAGAGGAATTACGCGGATCAACGTACTTATCGTTGTTGTTGTTTTTTTTTTTTTTTGGGGGTCATAATTCATTTTCCAACGAGAGAGCATCCCAAGTTCACACAGTAAAACTAGTCATGGTAAAAAGTTAAAAATGAGATTATCCATGTAAGCACAATTTTTTTTTGTGTGGCTATAATAGGATCCAACACCTTGATGTTATTATTCTAGTGCTTTTAGCACCCCAAATTTTATTTTTGTTTTAGTATAATTCAAGTATTTTTAAGTTACTTTGGTCTTGAAACTAGTCTTTGTTAGGTTGGAAGTGTTAATATTAAAGCAGTCTCTATAAATACACTATTTGAGATTCAAACTTATGTTATTTATGGGGTGAGACCACTTAATTACCATATCAATTAACAGCTAGTTAGCGGCCAAATTTTAATTACTGTGCATCCATCATCGTAAAACATAAATAACATTAGGGTACTAAACGTAACCAAAAAGATAACAATAAGTGGTATTGGCTGTGTGCTGGACAAATAATATCAAAGTATTGAACGCACAATAAATTAGATTAGGATCTTGGATGCACCTAAAAAATAAAATATGGTGTTGGATGATATTTATCTTTTTTTTAAAATTCATTTAAAAATTTTTTCTTTTGTGTTTTAATTCAACAAAATAAAAAACATAGCAAAATACCTTTTTACGAAAAATTTTCTACAAATATATTAATTATTAAAAATAATTCATTATTTACAAATTCTGTAAATAGCAAATCCTTAGAAAGGTGGTTGCAATGAAATTTCCCAACTTTTATATACGGAGCTACTAAATTGGATCCCACACGTTGAACTGGTGAATTGTGGATTTAAATTTCAAATTTCGAAACAAATTTAAATTTTTAAATAAATTACCCAAAAAAAAGGTGTAATTAAGCAGAAAAACTAGAAAGTAACCGTTACTGATACGAACATGAACTAGCGGACTTGGCCGGCTTCTCTGTCATCCCATTCTCAAGTTTGCTTCACTAAAGAGGAAACTCATTCCTCTCTTCACGGTCAATTTCTTCTTCGAATCATTATCTTTATTGTTTATCACTGATCCTATTTTCTCTTTCTTAGTTATATATACATACACGCACACACACACACATACACTTATCCCTGCTTCGCTTGCCCTTCAGAACCTCGCAATTTAGCATTAACATAAGAAGCTATATGACAGTTTCAAAAATGGTGGGCTACGAAGAACATCATGCTGCAGAAGATGTTCCTCATGTTCAACCTGACCCCTTCGTGTTGGAGACTGATCATTTGCAAAACCAACTCAAAGGTAATTGGTTCATTCATTCATTTGTTAATTTCTTTGTCATGTTCTTGTCTAGTTCTCAGCATTTTCTGAAACTTAACGAATTTGCATAGTTTTTCTGTTTGTTTTGTTTACTGCTGAGCTCAGAAACCTACTTAATTTCTTCTGTTATTTTCTTCAGTTACTGTATCCATGTGGCGTATCATCACTTTGTTTCTTCATTTCCCTTTTTGATTCTGAAGGTTATGCTGATTCATGTCAGTGATGCTTTTTGTAACTGACAAAACGTATCGTTCTTTTCTTTCAAAAAGTTTTGTGGCAGTGTGAAATTCTATTATGGGGTTCGTGTGGATTTATATTTGGAATATGATTTTCCAAAAGTTTGTGTCAGTGACGACAAAATGTTTGAAGAAAGTACCTCACTTGAGATCACTTCAAGAAAGTACTTCTTTGAATTCGCTTCGCTGTTTGATTGTTCCCTTTGTCTACTCCTCATGCTTTCTGTTTCAGTGATTGCCCGAGAAAACAAGGGAATGATAGCTCCTATCATTCTTTCTCAATGATGCTTTTTAATTATTTTTCAAGTCATTATAACATATATATGTATAAACTAATAAATAAATAATTATATAATTGAAGAAAAACTTAGGGAACTTGCAACTTGTCAGAGTGAAATCAAGGCCTCAAGGGCAACCGAATCACTGAAGGATAAGGCCATAGAAGAGGTATTTTCCCTTTTTATTCTCATTAATCGCAATTCTTCTTCAGAAATGTAAAACTATCAAGGAAGTTTAATATTTTGATGTTGAAAGACATATTTTAATCATTTAACCTAGGAGTGACAGTAATTCAGTCCTTAAAAAAGTTTGTTTAGTTGTTACTCTTTCCTTATCTGTCAGTTAAAAACGAGACAAATGTAGACGTTCTAAAATTAACAAGAGTCAATAAATTTTAAATGACTGAATTATATATTTCTAGGCTTCTGGGTCCAGATAATAGAGACATGTAGTTTTCAACTTAAAAAAAGAACATATCCTCAAAACTGTTACATGATTTTCTGCAATTTCTAAATTTTTTTGTTTTCAAATGCAGCTGAGAACTGAAGTGAACAAACTGGAAGAAAAACTAAGAGTTGCAGAGGATATTGTTGAGCACAAGGTACGCTAAACTGGTGTTAGTATTTCTTTTTCTTGGAACCATATCCCAACTTGCTTGAGCTAGACTCTAACATGAATCCTCCGTCAAAACGTTTTCATCTGCAGAATCTAGAAGTCAAAAAGTTGAGTGATGAGAAGAAGGATGCATTGGCTGCACAGTATGCTGCAGAAACAACTCTCAGAAGGTTACATGCGAATCAAAAGGATGATGAATCAGTTCCAGTTCACACTGTAATTGCTCCTCTTGAGGCCGAGATCAAGATGTGTAAGAATGAGGTATGAACCACATCGAGAAAGTAAATCTGAGGAGAAATTAGTGTAAAATATTCTTATTTATATTACCTCACTAGTAATTCTTTTCCCCCTTCGTAATACAATATAATCAAAAGTTTACATACTTTTACTTCAAGACTATCTGTTGTGTCCATGTAGATTGCAGCTCTACAAGAAGATAAGAAAGCTTTGGAACGGCTCACGAAGACAAAAGAATCGGCGTTGCTTGAAGCAGAGAGGATTCTGAGGAGTGCATTGGACAGGGCTTTAATAGTTGAGGAAGTTCAAAATCAGAATTTTGACTTGAAGAGACAGATTGAGATTTGCAAGGCATGGTTTCTATATATGTTTTGTTTTCTTCCTCTTTGGTTTGATAGAATCTTGAGATGTGATTGGGCAAATTTAAGCATTTCATGAACAGGAGGAGAACAAAATCTTAGAGAAAACCCATCGCCAGAAGGTTTTGGAAGTCGAAAAACTTAGCCAAACCATTGAACAACTAGAAGAGGTCATATTGGCTAGTGGAGCCACTGCTAATGCTGTTCGGGATTATCAACGACAGATTTCTGAGTTGCAGGTGCTTTAGACTCCTCCATAGATTCTGATGCGAGTGATAATCTTACAATAGGATGTCTAATTATCTTACTTTCTAACCTGATGAAGCTTGCTACTTGGTCAATGCAATAACATGGGTTGGTACTTAATTTAACAGGAAGAGAAGAGAACACTGGAGAGGGAACTAGCAAGGATAAAAGTTTCAGCCAACAGAGTAGCTACTGTTGTGGCTAATGAGTGGAAGGATGAAAATGAAAAAGTCATGCCTGTCAAGCAATGGCTTGAAGAGAGGAGGATTATGCAGGTAAATCCTAAAATTTAAGCCTAACTTCCCTATAATATAAAAATAACTCTTCAACGTCTTAACAAAATCTCCAAAAACTTGATGATAACTTTTAGGTCCCGTTTGGTACGAAGCATTAAAAATGAGGGATAGGGATTGAGATTGAAAATGTGAAAGTATATTAAAAAAGTGTTTAGTATGAGTAATCGTATGATACTCGGGATTAAACAAACCCATATATGTGGGATTGGGGAATACCATGAGGGGAGGTGGTGTTCTCCAATCCTATCTATATGGGATTGCCTAATCCCATGTGATAAGAAATCACTCATGTAAGCATCCTTTCAACATATATTTTCAATTTCAATCCCAATCTTTATCTCTTATTTTTAGTACTCCGTACCAAACGTAACCTTAGTCCTTAGGCAGAATAATAATTTCTAATCTCCTTTAATGAGATTTTTCCCAAAAGTTAAATATGTCCTTCCTTGTGCAGGCAGAGATGCAAAGGATGAAAGACAAGTTAGCGATATCGGATAGAACAGCTAAGGCAGAGGCACAGTTAAAGGTAAATATATTATGATACATCTGACATTATAGACTTCCATTGAGCGTAGTCAGTTTTAATTATAACTATATTATCTCTGGCATTATTATTCTCTTCAGGATAAACTAAAGCTAAGGCTAAAGACACTGGAAGAAGGAATGAAGAATATCTCAAGTCAAGCGATGAATTCCTCTGCAGCTTCTGGGTCTCCAAAAGTAGAAAAGTCCAACATCTTAGGTTTCCTAACGAGTAGTGGTGCACTAAGAAAGAGATCCACATCACAACCAAGAGCATCTTCTGTTGGAGGTTCTCTCTTTCATCAGCCAAACATAAAAATCAACAATGACAATAATAAAGCCAAATATGGTTCTGTAGAAAATGCATTCAAGAAAGGCATATGGGTATCTTCAAGAAGTAAAGTTGCTGACAGTGGTGAGAAGGAAAATGAAACAGTAATGCAGATGAAGCACACAGACATAATGAATTTGAATGTTAATGACAATAATAACGTGGAAGACGAGTCCAAATGCAAGATAAGTAGTGAAGTTGGAGGGGATGAAAATGATGTGGTCTCAGGCTTTCTATATGATAAGCTTCAGAAAGAGGTCATCAGCCTGAGAAAGTATTGCGAAGCTAAAGATTGTAGTTTGCAGGCCAAGGATGAAGAAATAAAGGTAGCACCCTTCCATTTTCTCACTTAGGATAGAATTAATTTCGTATTTTTAGTTGTAATTCATTAAAACTCTTTCCTAGTGATGAGCCTATATATGTGTGCATCTAAATTGTTTGACATATGGGTGTTCAGATGCTCATGAAGAAGGTTGAGGCACTGAGTAAGGCGATGGAATTAGAGTGGAAGAAAACAAAAAGAGAAGCAGCTGCAAGGGAGAAGGAAACTGCAACAACAAAGGTTGATGATAATAAGACACGCAGAAGCATGATTTCATCCAAAAGGTAGTTTTCTCTGTTCCAAAACCCGGCTAATTGGCGCAAGTTTCTTTATAGTATTTTCATTTTCCTAGTACCATATCTTGTCATTGTTATGCAATTGCAGCAGAGTGATGAAAGAAAGATGAAGATTCTGGATTTGATTTGGATCGTTTAAGTAGCTTGGTCGATCAGTGAATTTTTTGGGATTATTTTATGCACACAGAGGATCAAAATTCAGTGAGGTTATTATTTCTTGAAATTAAGTTTCATTGATATTTGATACAAGGTTATGTGGGATGGCTTTGTACATACATATAAGCTTTTTTTGTTTCCCTCTACATACATATAAGCTTTGTGAGTTTCTTATGTCATTAGAGAGATGATTTGCAAAGGAGTGGGTTTGACATTGTTACAATATCAGCCTGTTTACTCAGAAAAACTAATCCGTCAGTGCTTGAGATTTGTCATGATATAACAATTGTCTCTGTTTCTGGAAGCTTAATGTAGCATGACTTTAGAGTCATTTATAGTAAGCATTAATGATGTTCGTGTGTTTGTGTGTGTGTACTACCTATGATGTATACAAAGACTCTGATTAATGTATCTGAAAACAGCCAGCAAGATAAAGATTTAAATCTATTCTGTTATGGAGAAGTATATCGCTTAAAAGAGAAAATAAAGAGCAAAGGAAAAAGATGAATGTGGAGGATAAAAGTATGAAAACCAATGCTCATCTCTCATTACTTACATTCATTCCAACATACTGTTTTTATAGTGAATTTGTGTGCAAAACAATGAATCAGAAATACACATTTAAAGAGGAAAACATTATGGAATTATCTTCTTGCGATAGCTACATATATATAGTATCTGCTACGTATAAAAATATCTGCTTGACTGTTAGGTGCTCTTCAGTGTATTTGTCTTTGAGAGGCCTTGTACTAGTACTGATCCCCCCCCCCCTCTATTGTGCCAACATCGATGAATTCCAGCAATTACATTACCAAAAACAAGTATAGAATTATGAACTGAAACTGGAATAGATTTTCAAGAAAGCCCCTGTCCCATTCCCACTTTGCACTAAATATGGCATAAGGGAAAACATCCCTGTTTTCCAATGAAATATAATTTTGTGAGCTCAAACTTCCTATCGGAATTGTCACCCAAAAAAACTTCTTATCGGAAGATTTTTTTGATAGGACAATATGTGCGTGTGTGTAAAAGCAACGATCCTGTCAGTTAACACATGTGCACCTCCGAAATGGCAGGCAAGTGATCATTGTTTGGACTAGATAACTCTGTTTCAGGACTGGACCATCTTTCTGTAAGTATATACACTTACATACATACATACATATATATATAGAGAGAGAGACACACACAAAGCACATAATTAAAACAACATAAAACACATAAAACCACAACATAGCCTTCATTTACAGCTTCAACATCTGTTGTTCCTCCACTATCACTACTACAAAACCGATAATTGATGTGAGTTAAATTTGTCAATAAATGACTGTTCGTAACCATCATATCTAACCATCATGTATAGATATGTGATTTATTCTACGAGATAAATACATGACAGGTACCAACCATCAAGTATGACCGTCACGTATTTGAGCACAGACGTGACCGTTTTAGTATACCAATCGTCATGGTGTGGAATAATACATGATGGAGACGGAGTAAGGACCATCACGTTTTGTTATTAATACATGACCTTTTTTCAATTATAAACATCACGTACGTGTCCATATTTTTTTAAATTAAAAAGCAGTGCCTACAATATTACAAAAACTTGCAAAACCAATTAATTAATTGATAAAACAACAAAAAGTTGTCTATATATAGCACCCCCTACATTATTACAAAAACTGGCAGTACCAATTAATTGATTGATAAAACAACAGAAAGTTTTTGTCACGCACAATCCCCCTTCAGGCCAATTCCTAATAATAAGGTATATATTCCGAAATAAACAAATCGATATAATCCTAACATAGAAGTAGCAAATAAGGATAAATAATCGTAGTTGTAAAAATACGTGATATAAATGTTCATGTTGGTTAAGCATGCCAAGCCATGCTTCTTTGGGGATATAGTCCTCCCTGGTGTCTTCATAGACCTCTTGCTCCAACTCCATACTCAAATAATAGTTGTCCCTAGTCGCTCCATCGACCATGGCTACGCGATCCTCGAGACATTGTCAAGCTGTCAAGGACGCTCATTCAGCGTGCTGCTTAGCGGTGTTCTGGTCCCATGATACTGAACCGAGATCCTTCGGTAGGCTCATCTTGGGTTTCTTAATTAGTCTAATAAGCAAAATACCAATTAGTCAAATAGTGTTTTTACATATTGAATAATCTAAAATGTCAACTCCTATATACCTTTGGCTGATTATTCCAAGATATGAACATACAACTAGGCCACGCAACAAAGCTTGCCACGGCCTCTACTACTGTCTCTACGTCCTCGGTGGCCATAGAAAGAGGATAGTTGGGGTTATTGGTAGTCTTTAGCTCCACCCTCATGTGCTCAGGGGGGATAGCCTTGTTATAAATCATGATCTTCACCGCTATGTTGTACATGCGGTCCGTAGTGAGAGGCACATTGTCAACGTTCACCTCATTCTATACAATATTAATTACTCACTATGATGCCAAAACAGCTTCGCAAATAGCATTATATAGTGCTTCAGTAGCCTTCTTCCGGTTGTGGATAGTGATAAGCACAGTGCTCTTTGCCATCGCGCCTATCGCTGGCAAACTTAGGAGAGTCATTAGCTTGCCTTTTTTGGTTCCATTTTACACGTAGTTTTTTCTCCTCAGTCCTTGCCTTACTAACCTCTTTTATGAAACAGAGGCCTCTCATAATGAGATTTTCCACAGAATATCCATTCTATTTCTTCTTCTAGGATCTAGTTCGCTGATTATCATTGCATTGCTGGTTTGGTACTATCACCCGTCAGTTATAGAGTAATAGTACAACCAAAAAAATACATACATGAACATTCCATACAGGAATTGCGATATACAAAATACCTAAAATGCACAATCACAACAACAGGTATTGTGAATGGAATATACAGCATAAAGAACATAAAATGAGAATAAAGCATAATGCACATGGCATACAAGAAAAATAGCTTAAACAAGTGATGACGGAGCTCACAAACATAAACTTCACATTAGAGCATGAGCGAAGGAAACAGTGAGCAAGGGCGAATGAACATAAAGTCCTCGAACTCACTGGTTAGTATGACAATAGCGTTGGTTGGTGGGTTGCAACGGTAAATGCCTATTGATAACCGAAATTGGTGTCAAAGTGGTGGAGTTGTAAATGCTCCAACTTAAGACAAAGTCTCCATCGTATTTAAAATTCCAAGAGGTGCCACTTTGCGGGTGTTTTGTGAGCAATACGTGATGATTTGACCTTTACAATCGACATGTATTTTATATAAAGGGTAACAGTTATACCATTACAACTATCATGTTTTATGTAAATGAGAAATTTTTTATATTAAAAGTTAGTTAAATCAAATACGTGATGATTTTGGATATAAAACCAAACACATATTTAATATTCTTTATAATGGCAGTTCACAGCCTGATCAGAACATACACATAATAAAAAAAACGAACAAAACATAACATGATGAGCAGGAACAGGATATGCAAAAAAAAAACTCCCTAAACATCGTTCTTGTTGCCCTCCTTCTCATTATCACTGAAAGATGAAAAAGGATCTTAGAATTATTTTGGCTCCCAAGTTTCTTAGTGACCTTGATAAACCCAGGTTTGGCTACCAAGCATAGTGCTTCATTGTAACATCCAGCAAATTTTAATTCTAAAGACGAGGGAATTACAATAGACCAAGTGCCGATTAGTGCAGAGGGGACATAGATCTTACAAGTTTTGAATAGAAACCCGGGTAGTGTTTGCATTGATATTTTTAAAATATCAGTTGAAGAAAGATTGATTGAGAAGTTAGGCTAGAAATTCTTAAGAATTCTCAGAAAATCATGTAAAATAGAATTAAGGGTCAAGGAACAGCTTTTGAAGCCCCAGAGAAATTCCTAAAAGGAAATAAATAAATATAGAATTTTCTATATTTTCAGAAATTTTTGGTGTTAAATTGAGTAATAACAAACAAAATTAATTATTTAAAATATCTAGAGGCCTCAATAATTTTGGAAAAAATATGAAAAATTTTCTTGAAGGATTATCATAATTTATAAAATCATTCATGACTTCAAATGATGAGAAGGTTAGCTTTAATAATATTTAAAGCGGAATTATCACTTGTAGAATGCTAATTTCGCTGGAAATGGAATTTAGAGAATTCCAGAGTGAATTAAATTATGAGAAAAATCATGAAACTTCCCTACATTGAGAGAAAGCTACAGGTACATTGAGATGAATTTATTGAGATGAATTTTCTAAGATAGCGGATTAGACTGGATACAAGAAAAATTCATCCGGCACTGCACCGATACTCAGTGTAATGATAGGATACTCGGGGAAGTAGAACGTTTTGCAAATTTTTCTAGCCCAAATGGCCTATCTGTCACACCTAAATTGGCCCATTTTGGAAGAAAAATATTTAATAAAAAATGAAAATAAAAATAAGTTTCTAGAAGGTGGTTAGTTATGATGATAAGGAAGTTAACCAAGATTAGGCTAATTAATCTTGGCATGACATAAGCAAGTAACATTGTCGCCATGACATCATATGGACATGTGGCAAGATCACATTCAAAAAGCATAAGATTTGTCCACCTATTTTTAATTTATTTTTCATTATTTTTGGAAGAATTTTCAAGGGCCAAGATTAAGCAACCTAATGCTTGTAATTTTGGTGAAAATCAAGGGCAAAGAGTTAATGAAAAGCCTATAAATATCCCCTCCCACATTTGAATTTTTGGCCAAGAGATGAAAGCTAGGGGGAAACTTATTACACTTGATTTTAGAGAGAGAAAAGGAAACTTCTAGAGAGAGAAAGTGCATACAAGCTAAAGAAATTGTTAAGGTTTTGCATCCAAAGAGAAGGAGTTTTGCCAAGAGGGGTAGCTTGAAGTTAAGGGATAGGCTTAGGAAAAGGTAGCTAGCATTTACTATTTAATGTTACCTCGCATTGTATTTATTGCTATATGTTATGTTATGTTGTTATGCCATGATGTGGATGAGATTATGATGTTATATGATGTTTAATCTATGCATGTAATCCCTTGGCTTATACAATGTTGAGTGTTATGAATGAGAAGCATGTTATTTCCTTTCGATGGCATGTGATAACCAGTTCATGTAGCATGTGATACTTTGCTTGAGTGTGACATTGTAAATGTAATGCTATGCTACTAAGATTCCTATGAATCTTATCCCGCCCATGTTCAACAAATCTTAGGGCCTACAACATCCAAAGCAAAGGGCAACAAGGTGATCAATGCTTGAAGAAAATAATTGATGTTATGAAATGTATATGGCTTTGATCCATTCTTGAACCATATGGATGTCTATAAATATTCTTTTTGGATGGTACTATGTCATATTATGATGCAATTATATGCCAAAGTATGTTAATATAT